TTCTTTGTTTAATTCTGTAACATTGGCCAAACAGCAAGATGCAAAAGTGACGTAACAATAGACGTTTCAGCGACCGCTCATGCAGTTATACAGATTTTCAGGCATGATTGTATACACGTTTTAGCATGCTATTGTCTAGTTTTTAGTTGTGTGTTCGAAAATATAAGCATGAATCAAATAACCCAATGGTCATTTTGTTTTCTTATAAGTTTTAGTTTAATTGTAGTAATCAAGAATTAGTCTAGAAATAGCTAGAATAGACTAGACCAGTGATTCCCAAAGTGGGCGATATCGCCCCCCGGTGGGTGATAACGCTATAGAGGGGGGCGAAAAAGTCGAAGGGGGCGATTTCTAGAAACCTGTTTTTGTTCGGCGCATCGTGCACTTGATTACTGTACTCTGCGTGCTTTCGTATGTTTGAATCACGTAGGGTAGGCGATTATCACACGCGAATAGATTGCTGGACTCGCCTTCGCAGTAAGATACGGTCGTTTCCGTATTTCAGTGGTCGGCAAAATACGGCGGCCGAAGTAAAATAATCAGGCCCGGGACGCTTCACTGAATGGACCGTTCCCCGACCTTTGACCCCGGAAAATTTTTTCTATACCTCACCATTTTAAAATTTTCGGTGCGTATTTTAAGAGTGGTTTTGCGAGTTGTTGCCTGTAAAACGGGGTATTTATTTCATACTATCATTCTAATTCATACCATTAAACAATCTGTTTTTTAAAAGTACCAGTAAAGAATTTTAGCCTAGTCTATCAAAGATATTTCTACACCAAATTTTTGCCTACTGTAAATAAACTGAAACTTCTGGGGAGAAAAGGTGATCATTGACTTATTTTATTAATATTTAAATTTCCGAAAAACAACTAAAAACTAACGAATATAATTCAAAAACGCCAAAATTAGTTAATGTTTACGACCACGCCTGAAAATCTGTCTGAGTGAGAAATGTGTCTGAGCGGATGCAAAAGGGGGCATTGTTACGTTTTTTGCATCTTGCTGAATGGCCAATGTCACGAAGTAAACAAGGAAGTCTATGCCCGGGGAAACATCCAAACGGCGGTTTTGGCCATGATTAATTTTATTTACAATCAACGCTCGAGGAGTAAATTACATTTTTTTATGTAACAGAATTTATCGTGAGGCACGTTTAGACAAAATTTTATTATATCCTTAAAATTATATTAAACAGCTTCTCGTTTAACGAGCCTACAATTCAATTATAATTAGACAATAGGAAACACGCAGAAAAGTTGATGCTGAGTGCAGGGGCTCAGTAGCGCAGTAAATATTAGAATATATTGCAATGCAATAAGGAAATAAAATTCATATTTTATTCGAGGGATTCATCACTGCTTAATTTTTGTAAGAGTGTATCTTCTTAAAGAAAATCTTTATCAAAATTTGACAAACCATGCGATGACATTCATTTCGATGTTTGGAAGTACATATGTGTGCGAACAATTATTTTCAAAATGAACATTACAAAGAACAAGCTAGAACTAGAATTAGTGATGCCCATTTAGAAAATCTCCCAATCTTGGCGTCGTAAGGCTATCAAGCGTGATGCAGCAACAAGACAGTGTCACATTAACTGTCATTGTAATAATTTTTTAATAAGACGACTGAGTTGAGTTCACGAATTCTCGCGGTTTTTGCCCGCTGTTCCGTTTTCAACTTTCAAAAAATATATGCGACCCGCAAAAGATTAGCAACCCTTAATGTAAAATGGGGTGAAATTAGGGAGTTAAATGCTATAAGGCAAGAGCACGGCGGTTTTTGAGGAAGTAGAACCCTAGATTCTTTCATTTCCGACTGAAGGGGTTTTCAGCTGTGCTTTTATTGCTATCAAAACAACAAAATCGCCTTTCCATCAGTAAACAGGGTAATTTTAGATATTATAAAAAAAACTCGCTGAAGAACACCAAGCTCATCCATCTCATTAAAAAATACTATAAACTATGATTTGTTTCGTTATTCGGTCTGTAATATATTCGTTTCAGACTTTACATTTTTGTCGCAGTGCCGGGGGGCAATGAACTTGTATAAACTACTGTAGGGGCGATGGTACAAAAAAATTGGGAACTACTGGACTAGACTAAACTTTTAAGTGACGGATTGTTGAATGTTTACAATGAAAATAATGGTATGAAACATATAACCAGTTATTTAGGCGCCATCCCACAAAACCACTGTTAAAAAAGCACATAAAATTTTTCAATGGTAAAGTATAGGGAGGATTTTCCGGGGTAAACATTATTCAATAACAAACAATCGATACCACAGAAACTGAAAATTCGTATTTTACACTTTCTGCAATATTGACCTGTGAGCAGGTAAAATGTCGTGTATATTTTCGATTTCGCTCGCAACTTTGCGAAAAATAAAATTTTTGATTAGCAGAACGCGCTTTTTGCTGATTGTTACAGTCTTCCTATTTGGACTGTTATCCTTTACCGGGCGTAATTACCGAAAAGGATATATTACCGACCAACAAATGCAACACTTTCCAAGCAGTATCTAAGTGTTAAATGAATCGTAGGTACGTGCATTGAAACAATGTCAGAAGTAATCATATTTGGACGCCGTTTAACAAAATATGGAGTAACGTTACATTTAATGGCTGGTCGTTTTGTTTGGTATTGTCGTCGTCCCAATAATCGTTGGAACGGTAAGAAGGTCATTGATTTCATATCATAAAAACAAGTATAGCGGCCATTGCTGAAATTAATGAACAGGCTTCCAATGTCTGTAAAATGCACAAAATCCGAAGGAGGTTATAAACAATTTTGAAGATGTTTGTGAGAATTTGATTTCCGTCTTTTCGATGCTATTAAAGTCGAGAAAAATTGCTGAAATGAGGAATGCGGCCTCGAAGTATGTTCGACAGGCTCAGATGCGACAACATAGAATTGCATCAAGAAAGTCAGGACTGAGATATACAGAGAAACCAATTCTGATGAAAGTTGGTTGGGTAAAAAGAAAAACCGAGGGAAAACTGGCCAATCCAACACATACACATCCAACACACGATACCACGTGAGTGCGAAACAAATACGAGTCAAGATTCTTCTGTGGCTAAGTCGGATGAAAATTTGGGAATTGAAATTATTTTTGGTCAACAACCAGGAAAAAAAGTTGATGGAAATTTTAATGTCCTCGAACCTACCGACAAAATTTTGAAAAGGGCAACGTTTCGAGTACGCAAGAACAATCACATGGCGCCGCAACAAATGAAACGAATTCTAGTCAATATAATTCTGATATATATCCGTTTTATTCATCGAGTTTCGATTTGCAATATAGCCTACTTCAGAATGTGATCTTCCATCAAATCTTGAATGAACTGAAAGCGAGGACGATTCTGAATTTTTTTATAAATATATATATATGAAAACCATTGCCGTCGAGTAACTTCCTCCTCGTCATTTGAAAGGCCAACCAGGATTTTTTTTTTATCTGAGATCCATACAAGTAGTACAGGTGCAGAAGTGCGGGACACGGCATATTTGAATAACCCCGAAAACGAGTGGAACAAATGACGAAGTTTTTCACTCGCACACTGTCACGTCACAGATGGATATTTTGAACCAAGTATGTCTAACAATTCCTCAGCCACTGGTACTGTTACTATGGGAACAGCGTCAATTTTGTCACCCAAGGAAGCAAATTGTTGAGAGGGAATTGTATGGAAATTAATAAAATGTGTCTGTGGACTGACAGTTACTTAACTGAAATGGTATAACAGAGTTGAAAATTTAATGTTACAAAATAAATGGCAGACTACTCTTGCAGATCCTGCAGTTTTTTATTGACACAAATTTCAAATCGGTAACTGTGAAGATCTCCTCACAGCTAACCAAGTGACCAGGAACTAAAATCAAATTCCGTGGGCTGTAACATGAATCTGAAGATTGTCTGATTTTGTATGTTTGCATTGGTGGCCCGAATGGTGGTGGTAGACTGGTAGCCAAGCTGCAAGTCTTACATCTCTGATAGGAAAACATCAAAAATGCAATCTCATTAGCTAGTAAAGCAAATGAATGAAATAAGTTCTTTGACTGCGGAAACACTTGACAGGCTCTGGTATCTCATTGTATACAAAAACCATGCATAGAGCTATTATTCTTTTTACAACTTCCCATCGAAATGGTCCTGATAATCGATCTCCTCACGATGCTATAAAAATCGAATAAACAATAACAAGAGAGACGACTGAGAATGGAAGTTGCAGTGTTGAAAGAGATGATTTAGGGAACAAAAGAGTATTTTGCTATTGTTGGCTGTTTCTGTTGCTCTGATCTTATCTGATAAAGACATACTCCTGGTTCCGAATACATGTATTGCAATTGTATATATTTAAACATAGCCTACAAAGGACAGATCCAATTCATGACCGATAAGCCAGACAAAAATACCAAGTTGCGCTGCACGCACGAGTTCGTTCATTCATTGTCCATCGTTATCGTTTTTTCTCTCCTAACGAACGGTCGCTTTTAGGCTGGGTTTGGTATCCTCAGGGCATTACAATCTACAGGACTAATTTTAAGATTGGAATGATTTTAAGTTGAAACTATTAACCAAAAGCAGATAATTTACACAATATCATATAATGACATCCAACAAAGAGAATATTAGCCCCTATATGACTTGGTTCAAAATAGCGATTCGTAAAATTTTGTAGGAGACGCATTTAGGCTTTATTTCCTTTCTTTTGTATTACCTACTAATTTAAATTCAGGCAATATCGTTAAAAGAATCGTGGTATGTTAGAAAATATTCAAATGGTGTTGGGCCTCATTAAGTTAATGCCATATTACCTTCGTTTAGCTTGTGAGGTTGTTCTTTTTTCTGTTTAGTTCATTTTTTCTTTCACTTCGAGTGATTTATCATTCGATTATCAGCTCCATAAAAATTACAAACGCAGGTCTGTACAAAACAGTTTAACAAAAAGTCTTTTTTTGCGCACTCATCGATGCGTGATACGTTTTTGTATATATATATATACCTCTTGAATATATAGCGCTCATAACAAGCGTCCGCAAATCAGCGTTTACTCAAGTTTGCCGAGTTGCTTGCTAGTTCGACGTCGATTTCGGCAAGTCATCGTTAGTTTGAACAATCGAGGAAACCAACTTAGCAAACATCGACTGAAAACGCTCAAACGCGGGACAGACTATAGCGACTGAAACCTATAAATCGAAGACAATGGGTGAGACAGCATATCTTTCAATGATGTTTTTAGTCATGGAGATAAATACCTAGTAGGCGTTGTGTTTTTGAATATTACCGGTATATTCTAAAAAATAGCTTCGTTACTTAAATTTTCGGTGGAGATTATTTGCACTAATATTCAATGTACATATATATTGAAGAAAAGAAGTAAGCTTAGTTATAACACAAGTTATATTATTCAAATTTTACAGCGACTAGGTTGAAGTCGTAGAAAAAATAACAGATGAGGCAGTTTGTAAAAACAATGTATTTGAAAGAGTACAAATCAGTACATTTGGAATATTCATTCATTGGCTGTACTCGTTGGTCACCGCCCGGGTAAAGTTCATTCGGACAATGTTGTTTAGTAGGGTCAGAATGTTGTTAGAGAGTCAGCTAAGTCACGAGGAGTTACAGTAATCGAAATCTTGTATTACTTTAATTATTTATTTAATAACTTTATGATTGTCATTTACAGCGGAACGTGTAACTACCATCAAAAGTCACCTTCAAACGCAATGCTGTTCTGGTACTGGACCCGGATATGCAACGCCGAGAGATGCTATGAAAGCACCCAAAGAGAAATTATTGTATATACCTTGCATTTACAGGTATTTCGATTTTTCTTTTTCTATGAGCATCATAACCACTTACCTATGTCTATTTCTCTGCCTTACGAATGCACGTGTGATTCCTCGCCGCGCAGTAGAATTCGACTGTTCATGCATTGCCACAAAACCCCACCAAAAAAGACTGGCTTTGTAATTGGGTGGTAAAATTTTCTCGCGAAGTGTTCATAAAGCCCGAATCCCACATTTCTTGGCAAGCATATATGATAGCAGATATATATGTTTTTTGAGTTGTAATGTGGAATGTGAAACATACCGACATAATCCACCAATTAATCACACTTCACACTAAATTTATAACATTTGGATGCCATTTTCGGGTAGCCGCCTATCAGTCGGTGGCATTCTGATATTGATAACATAGCATGTTCCTAAATGCATAGGTTGTCACGTTTATGTTAACAGGTGCAAAATCGCGGTTTTATAGTTCCACTTGGATTTTAATTGATATCAGTTGCCTATATTTATCACCAAAAATGAAATATGGTTTCTTTCAAAATTATTGGCTATATACATATTTGCCAAAAAAGAGATTCATCAAGCGCATTTTTAACTGTGTTCAGTTCGTACATGGTTGGGTGGGCGTACGATTGTCATTATATAGACCAGGGGTGGCCAACCTTCTTTCCACCGCGATCGACTGAATTCTTCAAAATAAATCGCAATCGACTGATCGGTAATAAGGTCCTAAACTAAACAAAACGAATGAGTACTGAATATGCAGATGAGTGCACACACTTATACAAAAAATTCCACCGCTGACAATAAAAAGGCTTTGTCGGCACATTATTATTGACATCGACACAAAATATGTATTTTTTATGTTGCATTTAAGTTGTTGATTATTTATTTGTTCCCGGCGTAAATGTTTCATCATTTATTTAAGATTTATTTGAATCATACAATTCAGATATAGGGCATGCCTAATTTTTAGTCGTAAGTGTTGAAAATTCTTCAAGAAACCTTGCCAAGTATTCATATATTTATTATCCGAACAGCGAAAGATGAATATTCTCAAACCATGAATGTTACATGACTGCTCAAACTTCAGTATCTAATTTACAATTTACTCCAAATGCGATTCTTCGCTTGCTTAGAATTGGAAAAAATGGGGCATTTTGATGCCACTTCTACCATTGCGAATAAAATTAATCACACTACTCTTGCAGTGAGACAATAACTTTCGCATACTGCAGAAGTTATTGTAAGATTGTTTGTAAGTCTAGACACGCGATATTCGGCACTCCATGCTTTATCGGGTTTAGTCATACTCGAATACTGTATGTGTATATTGTATTTTGCGCATGTAAAGTACTGAATTCTTCCTGTTGTAATACACACAACTGGTTTGAGACAATTTTTGGGCGTATTTCAATAAAATTCACTCAACATCAGACGCGATCGACTGCTCGAGACGTAACAATCGACGTGTTGGCCACCCCTGATATAGACTTATAAGAGTACAATCGGGCTAACAGGAAGCCTTCATTAGTATCCTTTAAAATTTAAATCGTTTAGTTAGACACAATATTCATGAGTATAGCATATTCATATGGACACAGTCCTACGAAATATGCTAATACAAATCATGCCCGAATAGAAATAAAAAGGGGACATTTTATCAGATTTGTAATACCCGTAATGTATGTTTTGGCTTGCATTGATTTGAGCTCATATATCTACTTCTACTCGAATGACGGCATCGGCCATAGCGTTTGTAATTGCAGTTTTTGTTTTGCTCTCACGAGAGAAGCATGATTGAAATATTTTTTATATTTACAAATTCGCATATACCGTAGTTTTTTACATATTCCGGCGATTTTGATTCATGGCGATATAAATACCCAGAGGGTTTAAGATTAGTCCATCAATTGCTAAAATATTGGTGTAATATAATTTTACATTGTTGTTTTTATCTTTGCCGAAAATTTGGTTCGGATGACGCTCATTCCATCAAGATAAACAATAGTCTATATATGAACATGAAGCCAAATGACTGGCAGAAATTGCTGCTTCGATATCAACGACAATCAAGCAAAAGGCTGAAGGAATTGCACTGCCATATATAAGTGCGACAAACCAACAGCCTCCTATCGGCTTCATTCTTTTTCAAAGTACTGGGAAATTGTAATTGGTTGGTCTATTTGTTGAAGATAAAGACGATTATTTTCTAAATGCGCAATAATTCCAATTAATCCAACGAGAACAACTTAAGCAATTGTACGAAACGATCCTATGTGCACTTCGTTTTTATAAAGCGTCCAAGTCAAAAGTTTCATCACCGATGAATTAAGTCATTGGGGAAGTTTGATTGATATGCTTAGCTGATTTGGCTATCATCTTCTTCATAAAGTCTTTCGTTTGGCGGTATTCTCCAACTATGGTGTTGCATTAATTTTGGATAGGTTTGTAATAGATCATGATATTTAAACTTCCTTTCCTAAACATCAATTTTAATTATCCCTCTTATATTACAAAGAGCAAAGTCTTATCGGGGATGAAGCATGTAATCATTTGCTTTCAGTGTTGCATTCACGCAATGTTGAAAATTAAGTAGTAGTTTTGTGATGTTTTTGCATAGCTTTAGAATAGATGGATGACCCGAATGGCAAAGTTGTCCCATATGACCTACAAATCGTAGTTCGATGACTATATTGTGCATACAGATAAGTACAATGTACAAATTGCTTGCTTATTAACTACTGTAGACGCTGACACTGCAGCAATTATTTTGAGTTATTTATCGTCGCACGGTGATAAGAAGATACACGGTATAAGAAATAGTTTTAGAAAAACAAATCGTGCCCTATGACGCAATCTGTGATGGATTGGATTGATTGGTAAATGATAACGAATATTGATCGATTTTATTGTTTTTTTTATTCCATTCAGAAATACCCCAGTTGACAAAGGCGATTATCTTGCTACCGTTGACATGGATGAGACATCGCCTACTTTTTGCCAGGTGACATGAATTGCTTTTTATTAAAAATACTCAATGTTGGTCCTCTCGCAATTACAGCTTTTACAGGACAATTCCAAATAAGATTAAGTGAAATCAACTTCCGCAAAGTCAATACAAAGGTGACAATTGTGGATTAACTTTAAATACAATCATTTCCTCTGCTATTTTGAAAGATTAATAGTTTGGTAACTGCATAAATCACTTGTTCAAAATAATCTCGACCGAAGTCGAAAACATGCTAGCCGCCTATCTCGCGCGCTAGATGTAAAAATAAACACGGGACGATGTGTGAGGGAATTTTTATTATTATTTATCTTTACCGTTACCTTTGATCATCCTGCCTCTGATCATCCTACCAGGACCGCACACGTGACAGTCTTCTGAATCGTATCTTCACAGATTATCTTATTGTGCAATTCATTTATTATTACACTAAAATTTTCAGGTAATACACCGACTCGAAATGCCTAACAGAAACGATGAAATCCATCATACCGGTTGGAATGCATGCAGCAGTTGTTTTGGTGATCCAACAAAAAAACGAAATTTGTTTATATTACCCGGCCTTGTATCAAGCAGATTGTATGCAGTTGATGTGCAAACTACTCCTAAGGAACCTAAAATGTTCAAAGTACGCTTTTAAAATTATCGTTAAGTTCATTTGGTTGTTTTCCCATTTGTATATAATATAATGTGCTATATATTTATGTTAGATTGTTGAACCAACGGAAATATATCACAAAACAGCATTGGCCTATCCACACACAGTTCATTGCATACCAGGAGGAAAAATTATGATAAGCTGTATGGGAGATCCTGAAGGAAACGGAAAAGGTAGACTAACTCAATATCTTATATAAATACGACATTTTAGCGTAATAGTCGGGAAGTAAACTTTGCACTTGTCACTGCTACTTTGGAAATTATCATATCCAGAAGAATATTTCAAATATTAACTTAGCATGCCCATGTTGTTTAATGTGATATTTCGTGAGAGATGGATGAAACTAAATCCAAAACAAGGTAAGTATTGTGTCTTCATCCTATTTCCAACAACACCATTAGAATTGAGATTAAAAAAGAAACCTTTGAGTTTGAGTCCGATCTAATTCGATTCAGTTATGTGCTTGCAAATCTGAAGAAAAATTACAATCGAATTCTTATCAGAAATTGGTATGGATATGTGGTCCCCAATTGTAGTTACATTGTTCGTTTTTGAAAGCTGTTAGTCTGCTATTGTTCAGCAGGTAAACTTTAGTAAAATCATGATTATATTTTGTGATACTTGATACCGTTACGGAATTTATAAACCATGGTAACGTATTTAGCAGATAAACTCGAAATTGACATTTCGTTTTTTATCCTACGTAATATACAAGTATTGCCGCGGGGTATATTAAAAATTTAGTAACTAAATTTTACATCTTATGAATACGGGATGTTATCTAACGAGTTTTTATTAAGGACGTTATCTGTTTGAACAAATAACGTATGGTTATCGTGTGTACACACTGTACATTGTTTGCCACTTTGCGACATTGGGAATACAGTAATCCAATCGTAAAAGCTTGGCCAAGCTTGAAATTATGAAGCTTTTTTTGTAAGTGCATGCGCACCAAAAATTACGCTACTCTTACGAAGTATTTCATCATCTCTTCAATAGCTTACTTTTTACAGAAAAATTACCATTTCTACATTACAGCAAATGTGAAATGTTATTGCCGATCTCCTATTAGCATCATTATGCATATAACATGTTGTATATAGTTTAACTATTAGTTAAAGATTAAATTAGGGTGATTATTCTATTCCATTTAATAGTCTTGCTGCACATAACAAGAATGTGTCACTGCAACGTTTCGCTTGACCAAGGTCGGACCTCACCATTCGTTTCTTAAATTTCTTATTAATATGGTTTGAAGTTTAAACTAAAGCACAACTTTGGCTTAGTGCAGATAGATAATTACGACCAATATTACGTCCAATATGATTGCGTTGAAATAGCATGACTTCAAAATTGGACAAATCGGAAGCATTTGTTACTATTGCGCTAATAATGTTATCGAATATTGTCATTAAATGGGGCATGGCAGGCGTGGAGTTACGCATCGCCAATTTAGTTCCGGACAAATCAAACCGAATATATCTACCACGTAATTCACCATTTTATCCCTGTATCATTCCAGTAAAGTAGTATCTATCTTGGCATTTCTATGTCCGCCATGAACTTCGCTGAGCCATTATCCTCCTTAATTTCTAAGCAAATTCACCTAACATTTGTTTTAGGAAAGGAGTATCTCGCAATTCTTATGCTTTATCATGCATTTCGTTTCTCAGGTGGTTTCATCCTTCTCGACTCCAACTCATTTGAACTTCTTGGAAATTGGGAAGCGAAAGGTCATAATACTCCTTTTGGATACGATTTCTGGTATCAACCTCGTCATAATGTAATGATCAGTACTGAATGGGGAACTCCGAAAAGACTTTTGGGAGGATTCAATCCAAAAGATGTGGCGGAAGGTGAGTTTGTACTTTTTTGTTGACTTTGTTTGACTGTAATTTCTGTAAATGATGTGACTTTATTCAGTTGTTCAATTACGTCGTATCTCTGGGCATATTCAGGCAGGGCCTACCACTCAATACCAAACGAACATAGTATGTTAGTCGAGGATTTGAATATTGTCCACCTGGTTTTACTAAGGGTCGATTTAGGGTTTGAAATTAGAATTCGATAGGTATGTTTAGTCACGCGTAAAGTAATCTTCTTTCTCTGCAATATGATATGCGATGTATTGTGCGACAAAAATGCTCTTTCACACGCCTGACTGCAAATTTGCACGAAGATGTGATAAAAAGTATAGTGACGCTTCCATTGTCGACTCACAGAAATTCGTTTCATGAAAAGACTCAATTTCGATGTTACCTAAACTATTTTCCCTGCTACTTAATCCATTATTCAAAATTTCAGGTCACTACGGACATTCACTACATGTGTGGGACTGGACAACACACGAGTTAATACAAGTATGTGTGAATATCCGTAAGGCGATTAAATGAAATTACAACTTAATTCGGGTTAACTATACTTGATAGCTAACCAGCATTATGCCTCGTTAACCACAGACTATTTCCCGTCGTTGAAGTACATAAAATTATTGTCACGTTCTCGCGCGGTTGGTACAGCTCTGCAAGTATCTGGTGCAAAGTTAAGCAAACAGAATATATCCCAATATTCAACTCGATTGCACAAGAGACAAACATGCTACCTACTCATGACACCATGAGTGTATAGTACCTTCGCTTGCAGGGTTTTTATACAACGATAAGATGACTTCAAGCACGGGACATTTCGAAGTTCGCTGTTATGATTATTGGTAAAAAAATAATAAACTTAACCCGAATCTCAACCGCTTTTTTAAAAGGACATCGATCTAGGCCCGGATGGAAAGATACCTCTTGAAATTCGATTCTTACACGATCCTTCAGCTACGCAAGGATTTGTGGGCTGTGCTCTATCAAGTACCGTGTTCAGATTTTTCAAAGAAACAGTAAGTAGGAAGTTGTAAGTTTTTTTTTTATATGTAAAGCAATTTGGGCAAATAAATGTAAGACTATTGTGACCTGGCATTTTTATCGGTTTCGATGATGCAATTAATTATTATTGAAAATATTCCAAATAGCAGCTCAATCGGCACTTATTGGCAGTTATTGATCAGGATATTTGAAACTGTTGAGGCAAAAAGTGACAAATTCCTAAGAATCGTGACGTTTGATTGAAACCCGCTGTTTTTTTGTTATTCGATATACCTTCTAGTTATAAAATTATCAAGTCACAATCAATATGATTCGACAATAATGGACCAGCGATAAAACGAACTGATATTGTTATTGTTAATATTGCCTTTTTCTACGTTTTGATGATGCAGAGTATTCTAAAGTAACATAATTACTCCTTTTTTAAGAGTGGAAAATGGTCTGCCGAAAAAGTCATCTCGATTCCACCAAAGAAAGTCAAAGGATGGGCTTTACCTGATATGCCAGGTTATTTTTGCAATTTTTTTTTGCTTTGATAGCTATCGATCACTTCTATGCACAATTCTAAGAGCATTTTATATTAATCAGTAAGGTTTTTGAACTGACTTGATTAGATTACACTTGAAAGATGGATTTATTTTGGGAATCAAATTTACAAACAGTAAAATGTTTTTTTTCCTATACCAACTATTGTGAAAACGTGTTTCATATGAGGTACACTTCACAAAATACTTGAAATTGTAATACAGGTAGATTGTGCTTTTGATACCACTTGAACGTTCCCATTTGTATTAGTCATTATTGATATAGATTGTGTACTTTATATAAGTAATCCAGACTGGAAGACGAATGTAAATAATTGCGTGATTTTGATATGTAATTCGAAAGTTAACTTTGTTTTTAGGTCTAATAACTGACATCATATTATCCATGGATGATCGATTTTTGTATTTCTCCAACTGGTTGCATGGTGATATTCGTCAGTATGACGTTTCGGATCCTAGAAATCCGAAAATGGTTGGGCAAGTTTTCCTAGGTGGATCAATTTGCTCCGATGGCGCTGTCAAGGTATATGTTAGACTAGTTACTGAGATTGTTGTATGGGCAAATTTTTATTCAACAATGCGTTATGGCCTATGTTGAAATGTTTGGATCGGTGCCTTACCGAATTCGTTATTTCAGCAAATGACATCACATGAGGATAGTAATTAATTGATTCAAATGTAAAATGTAAGATGAATCACGAGCATAATATTTATTTAATAAAAATATTGTAATTGCATATTTTGCTTCCAACAATCAAAATGCTTAAGGGTTCAGTATGATCTGTACTAGTATGCTTGAAATTCTGAAATTCAACTTTACAGGCGGTGGCACACTGAGTCAATAAATGCAAATTTTGTAATATGGGAATTTTCCCAAATTTTGTTTTGCTCATGTAATCCGCATTTATTTCCATGATCATGAATTCCCAATCTTTTAACAGATCTGCGTCAAAACCATATTTTTATGATTATTTTGTAGAAAATCTTTTTTTCAAATGAATTTGCTCGCTGTTATCAATTACATTTCTCTATTTGAAAATTACTCTTTTCTCCATCAAGGTTTTGGAAGACAAAGAACTTAGTTCTCAACCGAGTCCGCTGTTTTTAAATGGAAAAAGAATGCAAGGTTCACCACAGATGTTGCAACTCAGTTTGGACGGCAAGAGATTGTACGTTACCACCTCGTTGTACAGTGGATGGGACAAGCAGTTTTATCCCGACATGATGAAGTAAGTAGTATCTAACGTCACTTTTCACTAACACAACAAGTTTAATGCAACGAGTTTTTCTAACTTTGTTGCGTTTTGTCATTAACCGATGGGTGAATAGTATTCTTGATTCGTGCCTCATGCATTTGCCTTTAATTTCAGTGAAGGATCATATCTTTTGCGTATCGATGTTGACACAGATAATGGAGGTTTGAAGTTGAATCCCAAAGTTCGCGTTAACTTCGGGAAAGAACCAAACGGCCCAGTTCTTGCTCACGAGATTCGTTATCCCGGGGGAGATTGTACTTCGGATATTTGGATTTGAACTGAATTGGATTGTTTCGAAATGAGAATAGAAATTATTTATTTCTGAAAATGTTTATCTAATTTGTCTAATTTAGATATAATTGTTTTTATGGGCTCAACTATCAACACTAACTTGCAAACAAATGTTTGTATATACCTAAATTGGAAAGAAACATTTTTAAACATTGTACATATTTAACCCTAATTTTATTACGATTTAAGTTCTAGATTACTACGGTTCCACACTGAAAATGTATTATTCATATTCCATAATATTATACATAATTTTTAAACTGAAACTCAAAGAACATTATTTAAAATGATTGTACCTCTGATGGTTACTGGACTCATATACCAAAATATTTCAAATTCGTGTTACGTTGTGCCAACCTGTTCTTTAATCGATTATTAATGTTACCTTTAATTTTAAATCTTCGAGACATATAATAAACTTGTTATATTATAATCATTGATGAGCAATTCTGTTTATTCATAAATAAACGGAAGCAAAACGTTCGCAGTTTAGAATTTAATTTTATGAGTTGTAGGATTGTCCACGGAACTATAGTTCAAATGAGTTATTTCATGACGAGGTTTACTTGTATACATCTAGTGTTATACGCTATGCTGCTTCCCCCTACACATTTACGGCTTTCAAGGGAATCGCGATACGTGATTCGATGGTAGGCTAATAAATAAGAAGAGTTCTTCACTAAAAACCGTACGGTATAGTACAAATTTCATCTAATTAGTCTTGTAATAAACAATAACTAATCAAAGTAGAACTGTGATATCTAAACGTCTTTGTTTCGTAAGAGTTTATTTGTAATCAACCCCATTCAGAATTCCCACATATTATCGAATATATCGGAACCAGTTGCATTTTATTTGCATCATGCTTGAAAATGATGAAAAGCGTCATCATCAGTGCAGCGGGCGCCAATAGTAAAGGTGTTTCGTGACATGATGATCAGTACAGAACAGGAAAAGGCGATGTGACTTTTGAAGAGATTTAATGAAAAACATGCGGTGGCGTTGACATCGACTGAACTATCTGTAAACGTTTCATTTTTGAATTTGTACGGACTTAACTATTAAAAAAGCAGTCAAGGAAGTCGAAAATGTATTTACATTCGAGTGAAAGCTTTTTTGTTGGAACGATTATTAAAATTAAGCCTTTTCTAATTCTTTTACTGTTGATATTGTTGTATGTAGATTGTGGTCGTGATGTCAAGCTCTGTGCTGACATCTCGTGTTAGTGAAATTGGATTTTAGCCCCTCTACGCTGTTCTCAATGTGTGTTGAAGTGAGTTCCTAAAAATTTGAATATTGAAATTCTTTATTGGACACGAAATGTACATATTGGTCGCTTCATCAATTCCATCAGATACCCTCTGAGAGCTGATATTTCACCAAAACTTTCACTGTTTTATTTTGATTTGTGACAACAGTTTCTATGACGTATGGCAATATTATTCAGTCACGTAACGCTAATCTTTTTAGTAAACTCAGTGCTCCAGGTAAGGCCTTGTGATAACATAGGTACCAACTTTCCAGGTGAGGCAAACACGCACGTTTTGATAACTTGTTCTCAGTCATTCAAAATAAAATAATCCAATTACAAAATCGTTGTGGGCCTGGTCGCAATCAAGGACAAAGAATTGATATTTCGTATTCTTGATGACTCCATCGGTTATAGTGTTCTAAGTTAGACGAACACGAACAGCCATATTACCTTGTGAACTCTAAATTAAATTTCATTATATTTATTACAAAATTATTTGATGGAAAAAAAGACAATTTTGTATATATATAATATCCTGTCTAGTCTTATGTGTATAATGTCATTTGTCGGTTTTAAGTGAAAAGAAATTTAACTTATCCAACTATTTAATATCAATCGGCGGAAGGCATGAGAGTTATCTATTAAGGTCGAACTGGTCTAGACTTGTATGCATTTGCATATTGTGTGCCCATGGCCATGGCCACGGGTGAACTTGGCCATGAGCGAACTGGTCTAGACTTGTATGTATTTGCATATTGTGTGCCCAGTATTTTTTATTAAATAGCATATCACGTTGGCAAAGCGGAGCGGAAATTGTCTGGTGGATATGTAAAAAAATTATTCCGTTGAAACAAATAACTTTAAACACAACATGGGTTTACACAATGAAATATGTTGGATTATTTTTTCTGTGTTTGTCTGATATGTATAACTAAAACCGCATCCGAATAACCTTGTCGTTGCATAATTACTAGCATAACCAGCACGGAGTGGTCATTTGATAATATGTTTTCAACCACACTAAAGAAAAACATATACACATTTAGAGACAAGAAAGCTTAATCCATTAGTTTTGCTGGAAATTATTATGAATTGATTATGCCTTATGAATTAATTATGAATAATTAAATAATTATGAATTAATTATGCCTTAGCATTCTAACAACCCTTTTCTCGAAAACCTTCTAATTTATTTCATTTAATTTTTGAATAAAAGTGATTGCTTGGTTTGATTTTACACGTGACAAATATAATTTCTGTAATCGTGCAAAATCACAACCAAAAAATGGTGAATCTGATGTTTTGAAGTATAGCTGTGCGGACGCTCTATTTTGTTCCAAACCATATACAAAGATTTATAACAATCCTTTCTTCGTTTTGAAGCTCAATTTTCTCTTTGTGTCCGTTGTTTTTTTCTTTTAAATAATCGTTTTTACTAGTTCTGTTCCTTCGTGACTTCCTGTCGATTGCGATCGATAAATACGGTATTTTAATGTATATATAATAAGTTAATTCAAACTCGTGTTTGAATTGTTTTTGTTTTTCGCCTGACGAAATAAACTTATCGTCTATTGTCATGACGATAAATCTTAACTGAAATATCTGACTTTTGGAAGCCTAAGAAAACGAGCATACATCATACAGTAATCAAAGTATAGCCCATTTGCGCGATTCAACTCATTTGTTTCGTTCATAACGTTTTCATTGGCCCGTTTCAAGTATTATGTCTTATTCTATTTTTCGACATGGATATCCCTATTTGGAGCACTTAGCACTCTCAGTGGCCACCTGAACGTCTTCACCACTTTCCTTTTTCGTTGGGAAATATGGGCTTTTTGCAAACATCTGTAAAAAAAAACGCCTATGAGTCTTTTCAAAAAATGTATAACTATTTGAGACAAACCATATTTGATGCATTACCTCGACCTTTTGTAAGTTCGTTTTACCTTTATTGTATGAAAGAAAAAACAACAACACCATTTTGCAATCATTACGCTATTTCCAGCTCATTTGTGTGACGGGCTATCTTAGATTCTAATAATATTTCATATCTTGTAACTTCGTAAATTGTTGGACACAGCAAATGGAATTCTCTTCCATGACAGAATGTATTGTGTCTAATGTATTATTAGTATTTATTCATACATTTGGGGTTTAAAATAGGCTGTACAGATCCGGAATAATGATTAATTAAATTGAAATTTGACTGGAAACACGAACCACTGCGTCAATGTTCTATAGGTATTTTGTATACGGAGTTTTTCATATTGTTGTTAATCAAAACGACCAACCGAATATAAAACTAATTAAGTCATGTAAAATTTAGTGAAATCATTTGCCAGAAATCATTGATTTGGGCTGGCCCGCCCCGGTAAATTTTTCAGTACAGTAGAAGAGACTCATGTCCTATTGTTCCAAAATACCTACGATTCTAGGTACTACAAGTACTTGATAGACTTGAGTGTGTCTTTGAGGTATACTTGAGATATTGTCCGATTCTCATTAACCACAACCAGGTTCTTGTTTAATTTATTTCACTTACTTGAAAGAACGATATATTTATGGAAACAATAGGTCTTTGTTGTGACAGAGCCAGTGATGAACGAGCCTCCGCTTACAAATCAACATTACAAAGAGTTGTCGTTACTTTGACCAAAATCTGTTTGTACCGGAGACAAAAACAGACCAATATACTGACTATATATTTATTTGATTACAAGAATATCCAACGTAAAATATAGTTATTATAACAGTAAACTTGGTATAAAAATATACATAAAAAGTTTTTAGAGTAAAATTAAAATTAACTTGCACATGTCCCTTGAAAACTCTGCCGTAGATTTTGTATATTTCAAGCTTTTGAAAGTTTCAAGCAAGCAAACTACTTGATAATCTATTGTACGCGTGTCAACAACATGTTGTAACGTATAGTTTAAATCTTATTCAAACATAAAATGTTTTTTTGAATTCGCTGACAATGGTTCTTTCTGGGTCCTTTGAGATACGTTTGGCATTTTTCCATGATGTTTCATTTGAATATTTATCCTCAATTCAATCTAGCAGCATTGACGCAGTTGAATAGTTGTCTAGTATCATTTAGCAATGTTTTTATTAGGCAAAACTTGTCTTCTTCTCTGCTTTATTTCAGGTAGTTTAACCGGAACAGTTTTTCTAGGTTGTGTTCGTCTGACCTGAGATTTTCTGAAAGTAAAATTAGTCCAAAAATTTTCAATCAGGAGAGTTGTTGACTAACACCTCTAGATTGCAAGCGTTATCCGCGACTCAATTTTGGTACAGCCATTTTATAGGTATATGTGGTAGAATCAGTCCTTCAACACTGACTATTGTCAAACATAAATGAAATAATATAAAAGTCATTGAAGGTTGAGTTTACGCTTCGTGGAAATGTTACTCCTTTAAATTTTTGTGGTTAGAACAGCACGAACGGATTTGAGGTTTTTGAATAGGACAATTCAACGCTTTGAAATGCTTTCTTTATATGGGCTTTTAAAGGCCAATAAACATGTCGATGAGGAATTAACTTGAAATAAGTATATTGTTACTAATTTAAGGTAAATTATAAGTACACTATTTATTTCCTAAAAGGAATTCATAAACCAAAAGCGACGGAAAGTTAGAGTTTGAAGTTCGGAAAAGTTTTATATACAGCTACTCGAAATAGCTAATTGTAAGTGAATCAATCATACATGTAAATTAAACATAGAATAACATTTTGAAAATATCCCAAACCGATATTTCCAAGGTTATATCGTCACTACGAAATTACTTTCCCAAGGTTACCTGACAGGTGACAGCGCTACATCTGCTTTTTGCATCCTTTCATAAGAATTCAGCAATATGGAAGCTTGATTTAATTCAGTAGCATATTTCTTTTTTGCCTCTGATGCTTTATAATACGCTTTAGATTCCTAAAATAATATTGGATATATTATCTTAACCAAGTTTTCTAAACCAAGTATGATCGAGAGTAATCCCCAGATAAATTACCAACGAAAAGCAAACTTCATTTATCTAGCATACTCGATCATACTTGGTACTGTATCAAGATACCAAACAGGGCTATCGGATTCCATTTGGTCACCCGATACCACGCATCAAGGAAAATTATACTACGATATAATACAATCAACTAATGTTTAGAAAATATCATTTATAATAGAGTCGTGGTGTTAATGTTTTCAAAAATCTAATTTTACATAAATACAATATATTCATGAGTTTATTCCAATCAATATGATTGACTGATTTAGTTTTTGACAACCTTGTTTATATCCAATATGAAACATGGGTAACATAGAAAACCAGATGGCATTTCAAAGTGTCCGGTTTTTCAAGCTGGACGATAACTGAGGTCAACGATTTCCTCCCATCATATTGTACAGGTGACACCATTATATCTTTCAATGTTTTGAACATAAAGAAAACTTATTTCAAACTTTGCAGCCCCTATTTAAGACAAATACTGAATATAAATACCAACCTGATCCAGTCTCCATTCTATGTCTCGAAGCTGGGATTCAATTCCGAATTTTTCTTTTTCCAATTTCTTTACTAATAAGTTCAATCCCGCCTGAAAGAGCAAAAACGTTTCATTTATACAAATCTTTGTGTGTAAAGAACAGTACAGTATGCAATGAGATCACTAAATAATGCGCGTTCCATCTTATTTCCAAATTCAAAATCGGAATGCATTTTTCGCGATCAAAATGATCGTTCCAAAAGGTTGGGCTATAATAACACATTTGTCAGATGACCCTAAGCTTATCAAATCATTCCAATGAAGAAGAAATATATTGCCCGGATTCAGCAAACATTAAGCACAGTATAGTATTTGACCCATTTTCACTGGGTCGTGTAATTAATTTCACGACGAGAGAGGAGATATAAGTTAGTTGTCAATATCCGCACACCATTAGTAGCAAAGCATCAACAAGTACTTCGTTGATATGAATGTGATAATACATCGTAGTGGTTTGAAAAGAAGATTTATAGATCAATAATTCTTTCCACCTCGGAATGATCATCCAAGTCTTTTGCATTAATATCTGTCATTTTATTGTCTCTAGTTTTTGTTGCTCTCGCTTGTCTCATTTTTTCTTTCAGTTCGTCAATTTGTCGCTGAAGTTCTTGATTCGTTTCAGCCTGTGTCTCACATCTGAAAAAACAACAAACATATGTTGAAACTTAAATCATGAATTTTCATATAAAATGCCTGGTATTGGCAATATACAAATAAAATGCCTCACGGAAGGCTGTCCTAACCCAAGAACAATTTTACCGACAACGCCAAAAAGGCAATGACTCATACCAAAATAGGATTGGTCGGTGGGTATTTGCCCAACGACAGACAGAACATTAGATTTTTCGAAATGTGAATCACATCGCAACGATAGGCATCTGAAGCTTCCAAAATATAGTCTAAGTTTTTGGTCTAACTAACTAGTAAACATATGTAGAATATAATATGCCTTATAAGGTTTAATTTACATCGGAGCACATATTTTGGGTGATTTTACCTGACACGCCATTCGCTTCCTTCATTATCAATCGTTTGCAATTGTTTATCGAGGTCAACAACCGTTCCTTTTAATTCTCCTACAGACTGATCCAGCATTTCACTGTGTAAAAGAGAGTAGGTAATTCAAATTCCAGGACTAAAAATGAGAAACTATAATCCAGAAACCCGGAGCAGTGGAACATGACTGAACGACAAATTACCGTAGGTCTGGAAAGTTCAAATAATTAATCAGACCTAAGCACCTCAGTTACTCGATTAACGGTTGTTAAAAAAAGATGAATATTGATAAAATAGATCATGAAAAAGTAAAACAAATGCCAAATCTTGACTGATTGATTACCAGAATAATATTTGCAAGACTTTTTCTTCCCGCGAGGCACTACACGGGTTTTCACCAAACGCTCAAAACTAAATAGCACAGCCAAGTGCTTAGTGATCCTAGGCCAGCCAGGACATATATATACATAAAATTGATTCCAAATTTGCTATCCCAATACGGGCACTTCAAACATATTACTGAAATCAGAGTACAAATATACCATTTGTTTACTCCTGATGTTATGTTTACTCGTATATCTCCTACTTCTGTCGTATATATATTGCTAGGAAAATTTATTCACCTAAACTTATTGCATTGTTGTATATAAAGCCTTGTGTTATGTACTTTGATATATTGGTAGGAAGGTTATACATATTAGTTTTAGCGCAAATTGTTTATTACGTTTGACAAATTCGCATTTGTGTGACTGTTAATTATATCGAGTTGGTACACTTTGTTAGCTGTTACCTGTTACCCAGACGCTTATTATGTTTAATATTAAATCCAGTAGTGATTAGCTTTGTTTGCTCGTCAAATAGTATATCAAGTCCGATTAAGCTATTATTCAATAAACGTTCTCAGAAGAATCTTTGCTACCATGACAACTGCATGTTTAAAAATGATATTTCAAACTTCTGTAGCGATTATTGCGAAAATAATCGCAATAACAGAACAGTCAGAATCCCTAAACTAAGTGAATGCGTCTATAAAGTTGATTAATGTCCATAAATCAACCTTTGTATATATATTTCCTACATTAATACAAAAACATTCTAATTCTCTTTCAATTTACAACAATTTTATGATTTTGTGTATTCATGTTCATTAAAGATATATCAAACAGGTAAACTTACGTCATTTCGCGTTCTCTTGCTATTTCTGCCATCAGCCAGTCAACATCATAATTATCTAAATTCACTCCATTACTAGCCGCCTCATCAACATTCGCGCTTGCTGCATTTTCTCCCGAATCGCCCATTTAAGCAAATTATTGAAACAGCCAGATTGGTGATGAAGTTTGTGCCTTCTCAAACTAAATGAGCCAACCTGTCATAGACAGTCACACAATACAAATTTTCCGTGTATTTTGCCTTGCCAAACAAAGATAACTCCTTTTCAAAGAATTTTTAGACCGTCAGCGATACAATACCTTAGCAATACCGTTATATTATCACTCCAATCAACATCATTATACAGTATTCCACGCTTTCTGCCTCGTGCACACACCAGACAATGTTGATTTAGCCTTATAGAACAAAGCTGATGTTGTGTAAACACCCGATGTTCGCATCTCTGATTGCCCTTCTCTTAAATGAAGGAGTTCGAGCGTGAACATGTTACAAATTCGGAAGCGCGCCGGGGTTACGACACTCTACGATCGTCAAAGTGTTCCAAACGTCCTGTACCAAATTTCCCTTGATAATTTCCTATGGCTACTACCGAAGTGGCGACGGATGGTCTGTGCCCTACGTTGGGTCAGTGGTCATCCGTTATGGAATTTTGTGCCGTATCATTTGATACACTTCAGAAGTATCGATCTGCATGTTAACTGATTTTTGAGCGTTTTAAAATCTAATATAAGTTGAGCAGTCGATTTTTGATAAGCAATGTTAGATTAAAAGCAACTGAACCTGATAATCAATTTTATTTTTATATTTCATCATATTTTTTGTTGATCGATTTTCTCAAATTAATATTATTTGTTCAATATAAACTGCTATAAATTTAAAATTTAGTATTTTTGGGCTGTAGTTTTTCGTTTTGTAAAATTGAAAATGACACCATTCACACACTAGAGAGATTCTAATGTTATTTTGAATTTGTTCTTATGTTCAGAAATTTAAGGACTTCAAATAATGAAAAGAATTTAGACGATGAATATCGCTACAAAAAGATGAATTTTGTATGGTTTTTCGATATTTTTCGTTCATTTTTTCCATCAAATTGAATTTAACATGCATATAATTTTAGGTATAATTATGTTTCAATAAATGCTTTTCTATATTTAAATTCTAATCTCTAATTACTTTGTATACTCTGTAATACGGAATAAATTGCAAATTAACCGTAGACAAATTGGGCCAAAATTTTATCGGGATATTTTGCAACATGTCAGTTCATATATAACATCGACTATTTGCTATTAATTTCTCTATTTTAACGCGCTTTAGCGACACCTGGCAAGAACAAAAATACAGTTGCAAGAGTAAGTTGATACCTTGAGTTGAAAACGAAGTTCCTCAACGAGAGAACAAACCCTCTTTGAGTAGTAAACTATCTCTACATTATTAGAGATAGCGGATGATGTATAACAATGACCTCAAACAACGGTACGAGCAGTGTTGGTATTTAGCGGGTTCGCGCGTTCTTAAAATGTGGCCGGGACATCAGCGAACCCGTTCTTGTTTTTTGTCTTAGATGTTTGAAGACCGCAGCAAATGGGTAACGTACAGCATAGCTACGTGACCACTAGCGTTATATTTTACGTTTCGATAGTTAGATTTACGTAATTCACGTCATTTTTATTACGTTTTGGCGTACATACATTATCTGAAATGAGGTTGTTTGTGAGTTTGATATAAAGAGAAACGGCTCCTAGAATTTTCAATTGCACCACTAGGTACGCGGTCAGAAAAATCAATAGTTGTTATTAAATGCTTAGATAATTTCCAATCCTTCGTTGCTATAGGTAACCCAATAATAAGAAAGTTCCATATTTTTTTGCAAAAGTATTTTAATATAAATATTACTAAAATTTTATCTAGAAACAAAAAAGTGCAAATAAGCATAAAAAGGAAAAATGCAAACAAAAATAATAAGTGCACTAGAATAAAAAACGATAAGAAAATAGAATTAAGATTTCAAACAACCATTATTTAAATATCTTCTGTTAAATAATTCCCATTGTAACTGCTTTTGCATTTTATAAATACGAGCAAGTTTAACATCAACATGCATACGTTGGTCTAATTCCAACGCTTCATACCTGGAATTTATATTTTCAACTATTGGACAACATGGACGAAATCCACGTGATCGAGAAAGTATCGGCTCCGGCGTATTATTAACGATATATCGTCGAAAACGCGAAATGGGAATATCTATGACGTCACTAGGATGACGTCCGATACGGCAGTCGTAACACCAAGCTTCGCCATCACGGCGAGGTTGTTTTTCACCACAAAATTGACTGCGCAAAGCCATTGCTTTTTCAGTACATTTGATGATAGCATCCTTATATTCTTTAAGTAAATTCAATTTTGTATTATATTCGCGACGCCATCTTTGACGTTCAGCTTCTCTCGCTTCCAATAGTTTTGTATTGAAATGAATTTCTCGTATCTTTGACTCTTCGGTCGCTTTTTCGACTTGAACTATTGTATTCTGGAGTTCATTAAGAGTGCGCCGTTGATTCTGAAGTTTTTCATAAACTTCTTTGACGGAATCTTCCTTATTTTCCGAGATTTTATCCAATCTCGGCATGTTCATGTTTGAGAGGTCCTTGTAAACCTGAAAACATATACACAATATATTTAATGGTAAAAGCATATAGAAAATGATCAGGTATAGATGCGCAACGTTTTGACTAAGTAAGCGCATCTATATATATGCGTTTTTTTTTCAATTTGATCAGTTGATTTTTTTCCGATTACAAACTGCTGGACTTTTGTAAAGATTCCTCTTTTTGCGTTCGTCATCGAGTAACCCGTCGTGATAAAAAATAATTTTTTTAAATTCTAATCAATTATGAGAAAAACTCACCACTTTCTTTGTTCTTTTAACTTCTTTTTGGAGTTTTTCAGAACCAACTTCGTTCATTTTATTCAACTTCTGGTAGAGTTGGTCAGCGGTGACGACCTTTTTCAGTTTCTCTGGAAAGATTTTCTTGGAAAATTTCTTTTTAATAGTTGAATCATTGACTTGAACTTCTTGATTGCTGCTCAATTTGCCATCGTCGTCTGAGGAAATGGTTATAATGGACGACGAAGAACTGTCCTCGAATCCAACTTTTCTAGGACCGGTTCTAGGACTAATGGTTTTGGAACAACTTGGTTTCGCCGATGGCATTACAGCAACTGGCTTACTGAAGGGTTTCACCGTAGCGTCACTGCCGCTATCAGTACGTGATAGCTCAGAAGACGACATATTGTTATCCTGATTTGTATCTTGTTTTACTACATGGTGTGACAGTTTCAACTTGGTCGCCTTTTTTGAACGAATTCGCTTCGGAGTACTTGTTTTGGGATGCCAATTCAAATATTTACTCGAAGTGAGTCTGTTCATATCCTCTGAAATATCGGTGTCTGTTGAAGATTCC